TACAAATTAAATCATATTTCTCTACATGCACCAAAGCTTCCAACTCACCTATTTTCCTTGGCAGACTTCTGGCATTGGTGAACAAAAACTTTCATACATTATATGTGTCAGACAATAATGACAAGTGACATCTTATCCCAATAGTGCATGTCAATCACTGTTTGAACTGTAAACATAAGTCCATAGAAGAAGCCAGCAAAAGTCTTCTCTTTACATTTCAGATTCACCTTGTGACCAGAGGAAACACAGAACACTCTCCAGACAGTGTGTGCCACTTTAAATAAAAGTGGTCAGCAAGCGCTCAATTTGGGCTCCACTTAGTGTGTCTCATATACTGTATGTATTTCAGCCTGGCTCTTAGTTGTCTGTACTAAGGATATCTCCACCTCAATGTTGCCACATCGTCATATACACATATACTAAAGGAATTATTTTATTAATAAATAGGCAATGAGCAACAAAAACAAATGGCCAGATATGCTCTTACATTTTAAGTGCCATAAATTGGCACTAGTACAGCCAGCAGTGTGTGGTTTACCAATGCATCGCTACTCTGCCAAGTCCTGGAACTGATGTGCATTCCAGATACCAGAAATTGTGTAATTGGTAGTGATGTAACGGAAGTCCCGCTTTGACGAGTTTGTCACACTGACGTCATCAGGAAGCTGAACGTTAGCCATATTATTGAAGTCTTATATACCAGAGGCTGGCATTTCATTGGCCACTACCCCCAATGGAATGGGACTGGTCAAGTGTTACATTCAGATTCAGAATCTTGGGTTGATGTTAGGGGCGGACCGACCATTCGAGCACTCGGGCACTGCCCGAGGGAGCGGGATCAGTAGGGGGCCCCATGAAATGCCCCTGGTACCTTTTTTATAGGCTTTTTTGAGTGTGGGCAAGGACACAGGGGCCCCCATGATCCTCTATTGCCCGGGAGCCCCATGAGTTATCAGTCTGCCCCTGGTTGATATAGTAAAGGCAAATCAAAAACAACATACATCAAAAACATAGCAAAAATGCATCAAAAATGCACTACATGCTTTTCTGCAGCATCTCCATTAAAGTCTATAAAACCAAAAACACAATGTTTTGCTTTTCAACAGTTCCGCACTGCCCTATAGCAGAAATACTGCTACAGGGCAGCATGTGTGCGCACAATCACGTATTATATGTGACTTTGCAGTTCTGCATAGGGGGCGCATGAGTGCCGCTATTCTCAGCCTCAGTTGTCAATCACCGAGTCCCGGACGGTAATTACTCGCCGGCACCCAGTGAACGCCGAGTATTTCCAACAGAGTAGAGACCTGCATGTAAACAATAGCATAGCAGAGCCATACAAAGCAGTGTGCTTACAGTAAAACACCAACACAGCCCAAGTAGTGAAACAGCACGTAGTTAACCCTTTGATTGCCCCACATGTTAACCCCTTCATGCCCAGTGCCATTAGTACAGTGTAAGTGTTTTTTTTAGAACTGATCACTGTATTGGTGTCACTGGGGATGTCAGTGACTCAAGTCAGCTCCCCTCAGTGTCAGAATGCCCGCCGTAGTCCTGCAGTCCTGCTATAAGTCGCTGATCACGACATTACTAGTAAAAAATATTAAAAATCCCAGTATATATACCACCATTTGTAAACGCTATAACTTTCACATAAACCAATTAATTTACACGTATTGGGATTTTTTTTTTCAGCAAAATACATTTTGGCCTAAATTTATGAAGAAATTTGATTTTTTTTTAAATTTTTTTACTGGACTTGTTTAATAGCAAAAAGTCACAAATATAGTTTTTTCTCAGAATTGTCAGTCTCTTTTTTTTTTATAGCGCAAAAAATAAACACGCACAGGTGATCAAATACTACCAAAAGAAAGCTCAATTTGTGGGGGAAAAATGATATAAATTTCATTTGGGTGCAGCGTTGCATGACTGCGCTATTGTCAGTTAAAGTAATGCAGCGCAATTGCAAAAAATGGCCTGGTCAGGAAGGGGGTAAATACTGTGGAGGGCAAAAGTCCTTGACCCTTTCCAAAAAACACACCGGGTGGAAACGCTGAGATGTAAACCTGTCCCATAGGAAATCATGTTAAATGGACTGCTGTGCTTTTCTGCAAAATGCAGTGGAAAATGCATAGGTGTGAACCTATACTAAATCAATACAGCGCTGAGTGAACTGTTGGCGCTTTATAAATACTGTATAATAATAATAATAGTCCCTCTCCCGAAGGACATAAGAAACAGCATCAGAAGACAACAGAGGATGCACTGAGGAACACTGACTGAGTGCCTGATGTCCTGTTTTGATGGTTACATTCAGCTGACTACCACTCGGTCGCACTCATTAGGGCTAAGCGGAGTTTTTAACAAGAATCGGTGTATGTTAATGTTAAATGATAACCTACATAATAAAGATTTCAGTGCTTTCTCTTACTGACATTTACAATATGGAAGCATCTATAAATACTCAATGTTGAGTATTTAGTAAAAGTGACAACATATCAGTTTATTTGCTTACATTGCATAATAAAAAAAAAAAACAATGTTGGGATGTGCATGTTATTATATGCAGAGACTACCAATTTTCAGAAACTAATGGAAAAAAACGTTAAGATACACGATGTTCTAACGCCCCAGGCTGTGTTTTCTTCTAGTAAGTGTTTCCAACTGTCGTCTTACATTAGATATTCAGAAAGTATTTGCTTCTGCAGATTTTTTACTTTGATAACAATACAAGGTTTTTATAGCCAGTACAGAATTTTTAGCTGTTAACAATAAAGATTATTTCTCAGGTTTGTATTTGTTTGTAATTAACGGCTTCATAGATAACCAGTTTTATAAGTTACCAAAAGTGCTAGCTGTGCAAAACATAACAGCATTAACCACTTCAAGTCCGGACACTTTCACCCCCTTCCAGTCCAGGCCAATTTTCAGCTTTCAGCGCTATCACACTTTGAATGACAATTGCGCAGTCATGCAACACTGTACCGATATGAATTTTTTAGCATTTTTTTGAGACAGATAAAACTTTATTTTGGTGGTATTTATTCACCACAGGGATTTTTACTTTTTTGCTATATAAAGTATAAAATCCAAACATTTTGAAAAAAAAAGTGTTTTTCTTATAATATTTTGCAAATAAATAATCTTTTTTCATAAATCTCGGCCAAAATGTATTCAGCTATCTTTTTAGTAAAAAAAACCCAAATTAGTTTATAACCAAAAATTCTATAATAAAAAAAATGTTTTTTTTACATTTTTTTTTTTTATATTATTATTTGTGTGTGTTTTTTTTTTTTAACATACCGTCACCCTAGCAGTATAGTGTCACCATATTGACACTGTACTACTTGTGGGGGGGATGAAGATTTTTTTTTTTTCTTTTTTTACACTGATTGCTTTTTTACATGATTGCTTTTACACCCATAAAGGCTGTAAAAGCAATCATTTCTCCTTCTCTCTGGCTGCATTCTTGCAGCCATCGAGAAATACTGTGAGAGCGGTAATTGGTTATAGCTAGTCACATGGTACAAGGCTATTGTGAATAGCCTTGTACCATGTGACCTCTGATCATTCACAGATTTCACAAGTAGTAAGCAATTATGTCAGGAAGTGACATCTAATTTACTACTATTCATGTGATCACTGATTGGCCAACACAGCTATCGGTGTTCTGCTGTTTCCGGAGGACACAGTGGGCACCGATCGTGGTGCCTCACGCTCCCAGGGAGCGCGCACAGGCCGGTAATGCGGGGGGCGTTTATAAGTGGTTAAAGCAGTGACTAAAAATATGCTGTCTTTCCATGATTCCATGCCTTTTGAAATGACAGGGCCGCTGTTAGAAATCATGGGGCCCTGTATAGCCTATAGCCTACATATAGCCTGACGGGGGTCCCCTTCGACCTTGCCCTTGACCCCACCCCTGGCCCCTCCCCTGAGTTTGCCTGAAAACAAAATGCAGGCCACCAGTGACTTTTCATTATAGAGAACAGGGCCAGCAACCGCACCTACCTACTGAGAGTTACAGAAGAAACTGCCGCTACAATTTTCACCAGCCATAAACACTGGTGTGAATGTAGCCAATGTAGGATGCCTTTCACTGTCCTATTATCATCATGATAATCACACAATACAGGTGCTGTGGCTCAAAAGCACCTGTACTGTGTGATGATCATGATGATGACATTTGGCTGCTGGCTGTACAATGCATCATGGGCAACAGCAGGGCATGGCATGGGGGAAAGGTGTGTGTGCACTTTGATCTCTCTGTACCTTTTGTGAGAATTCTCTGCAGATGATCCCTCTGTGTGATGACTCCTGCGGATTGACTGCTGCCTCTGCTCTGCCTAGTGCAATGATAATAATGATATAGCTACCAACCTGAGCCTGCCACTGTTTTGCTGCTATTTCCCGAAGACTGAGCTGCCCTCTCCTCAGCACTTACTTGCTGAAGGAGGCAGGCAGTGAGGAGGCTGATATTACTTCACTAGCAGTGGGGACTGTGAGCAAGGCCATTAATTTTACCATTGACAAATGCCGCTCGAGCATGTGGTGCAAATCAGCCTGTGACCCAGATAAGAAAAAAAGTCCCTCTATTCTATACCTACCAGGCACATACTACAGGAAATGGTCAGAGACTGTAGACATATGACAGGAGATGGTCAGAAACTGCAGACATACTACAGGCGATAGTCAGAGACTGCAGACATAGTACAGGAGATGACAGAGACTGCAGACATACTACAGGAGATGGTCAGAGACTGCAGACATACTACAGGAGATAGTCAGAGACTGCAGACATAGTACAGGAGAAAGTCAGAGACTGCAGACATAGTACAGGAGATGACAGAGACTGCAGACATACTACAGGAGATGGTCAGAGACTGCAGACATAGTACAGGAGATGACAGAGACTGCAGACATACTACAGGAGATGGTCAGAGACTGCAGACATAGTACAGGAGATGATCAGAGACTGCAGACATAGTACAGGAGATGACAGAGACTGCAGACATACTACAGGAGATGGTCAGAGACTGCAGACATAGTACAGGAGATGGTCAGAGACTGCAGACATAGTACAGGAGATGGTCAGAAACTGCAGACATACTACAGGAGATGGTCAGAAACTGCAGACATACTACAGGAGATAGTCAGAGACTGCAGACATAGTACAGGAGATGACAGAGACTGCAGACTGCAGACATACTACAGGAGATGGTCAGAGACTGCAGACATAGTACAGGAGATGACAGAGACTGCAGACATAGTACAGGAGATGATCAGAGACTGCAGACATAGTACAGGAGATGACAGAGACTGCAGACATACTACAGAAGATGGTCAGAGACTGCAGACATGCTACAGGAGACAATCAGAAACTGCAGACACACTACAGGAAAAGGTCAGAGACTGCAGACATACTACAGTATATGGTCAGAGACTGCAGACATACTACAGGAGATGGTCAGAGACTACAGTTTGCTCAATATAATATAAAGAGGGACAATACAGCAACAATACAGTTCAATACAAAAGGGTTAGGAAGGCCCTGCTCCTTGGAGCTTACAATTTAAGAGTACAGGAGAGCAAGGCCTTTAATTTTACCTTTGACAAATGCGGCTCCAGCCTGTGGTGCAAATCAGCCTGTGCGCCAGATAAGAAAAAAATTCCCTCTAATTCTACACCTACCAGGCACATACTACAGGAGCTAGTCAGAGACTGCAGATATAGTACAGGAGATGGTCAGAGACAGTCATGGTACAGGAGCCTGTCAGAGACTGCAGACATAATACAGGAGATGCTGCAGATATAGTACAGGAGATGGTCACAGACTGCAGTCATTGTACAGGAACTGTCAGAGACTGCAGACATAATACAGGAGATCGTCAGAGACTGCAGATATAGTACAGGAGATGGTCAGAGACTGCAGTCATGGTACAGGAGACAGTCAGAGACTGCAGACATAATACAGGAGATCGTCAGAGACTGCAGTATAGTACAGGAGACTGTCAGAGACTGCATTTATTCAATTATGCCTGAATGAAGTGTAAAAGCTCTCTGCTTAAACCAGCTCTGCAAGACCAAAATCCTCTTTACAAAGTACAAGTGACAGAAGGTAGCAGCACTTCCAATCTTCTAGTCTTATAAAACAGTCAACTGGTCAAGAGCAGTGCAGGACAGTAAACATTTAATAAATCTGTGAAGCTGATAGCCTTAACCAGCAGTAAATCTTCCAAAGCCAACATCAAACAATGTGACTAATGATGCATCACTGGTCACTTGTATATTATCAGTGTGTTCAGACAGCCTGCAAGTTAGATTAGGCAGTTGTAAAAAAAAGAGTAATGAGTGAGATAAGACAGAGGGGAGGCTTGTATGTATACTGTCTAACCTGCACACTGCCTGAACACATGGATATGATCAGCCATCATTACAAGTGACCAGTGGCACAGTTGTTTCTGATTGTACCCTCTTCTTGTAGCCCCTGGGCTTCAGGTTTTTTATGCTCCCCTCCCGGCACCCCCATTCAGCCCTGCTCCAGCCACCATCCCTCTTCCATATACAGTAAATTGTGGTGGGCTGGAGAAGGGGGGGGGGGTGTTACAGTGTTTGCTGATTGACTAAGGATGGGTGGGAGGAGGAGCAACTGTTGCTGCAGCCAGTGCAGTGTATTTGTCTTGTCCCTCCCCCATACTTAAATAAGTAGCACTATTGGCTGCTACACTAAGCATGCAGAAACCTGAAGCTACCAGTTTGCCGGGCCCCTCTGTCAAAGTGACAGGGCCCAGTCCCCCTACAGGAGACTCAGGTGTACCCCCTTATTGGCGGCCCTGCGCAATGATGTTCATATAACATGGAAACACCTGTCTAAAAACGCTGCTGGACATAAATGAAAAGTTTAGATGTATGAGTTTGCATGCCACAGGCCTACAGTTAATGCAGAATTAAACTTTGCAATTTTTAATCCGTAAACTGCTAGCATTAGTTAATAGCTATGACAGTATATCATATTTACTTGTTTAGACTTTGTTTTACATTTCTTCTGTTACTTCCGTGTTTCCAGGCTAGGCAAATGATGTCATACATCCCAGAATGATGGGAGAGGAGGAGGGGTTTTCTCGGCCAAGCAGCCCTCTTGCATGCATGCCTGAGCTAAGGGCAGATGGATTCTAGGGAGTAAATGCAACATGAAGCATCTGCCCTTATGTAAGATGGCCACAGTCAGTAATGCTAGAGAGTGATTTTCAAAATACTTGCTGAGCAAAATAAAGCATGGAGATGTGGATGTATGGGTGAATTTGTTTTGAATATTAAAAATTAATTAAATAGCATTTTTGGTTTGTGGTGCTCAGATGCAGTGTAGTTCTGCTTTAAAAAGGTTCTCATCTTATGATACCCAGATCTGGTACCATTAATCTATGGGATAACACATTCCTGTAAGTACAATTTATACCTAATGGATGACAACCTAGGTATGTAATTTACAAAGAAAAAAAAAGAGGAATACAAGCATAATTCGTTTATTAACAAAAATAATATTTTCACAATATTGGGCACATTCCTTTTGCTGTCCATTTGTAATAACTCAACATTTTTAAGCAGTTCTTTCTTCAAAACATCAAAATGTTAAATAGTTAACTCTTTGCAGACTTGTAAGCACCAGCAGCATTTTCACCATGTAAGAAATAACTATGAACAATTAAGAACTATCTGGTTTTATACAGGATTTTACTGAGATAGCTGTCATGACCCCGGATTGCCCATTTTATTTGTGAAATTGTGTGTGTATGAGCCTCCCTAATAACAAAGATTTTAATGCATACATGAAGGACTGCATCTGCTGACATGTTGCCTGAAAATTCTTTGTTACTGGTTAAAGCAGTGTTAAACCCAAAAGCAATCATTGATTATATTGAAGCTTACCAATTCTTAGATGTGATGGCTGTATTAATTTCCTTTTTTTAGGATTTCTTTCTTCTATTTTCATGTGGTGATCCAGCAATCAAGTCTGTTGTTTTACAAAAGAACAAGCTGTCCAGCAGAATGAATCAATTTACATGGATGAGACAGACCATTTAAGAGGTGATTAAAACTATCACCTTTTATTTATTCATGAAAAATCTTTATTTCAAAAGAAAAAAAAACTGTTTGCTGTAACTGATTATAAAGTGTGAGCTGGAGTTTGGCTTCAACGTGTTATTGTATTTAAACCTATTAATAATTTAATACATTTAATACTGCCCCCTCCCCCAATTGGCAATGTTGCTGTCTGCTGTGCCTCCTGTGCTCATTTATCCAGAGTGGTGTCTCACTAATACAGGAGGTGTATTACTGGCCAGATCACTAGGTGAAAACAGAGGGAAAGAGTCAAATAAAAAAAAACTGATGCAGCCACCACATCTAATGATTGGTAAGCTGCACTATTTGACACTAGTGATGGGCTGAACACCCCCCCCCCCCCCCTGTTCAGTTCACAGTCGAACATTTAAGCTTACTGACAGTTTGACCTGGGAACTTCGAACAGGGATAATTCACTAAGCAGTATCTTACCACATCTGAGTACCGCACAGCTACATTCTTTAATGTTTCCACTGTCATCAGAGTTCCCCGCTGACAGTTGAATGTAAAAAGAATTGCCGGCATTGCCCAGCAATTACATTTTTTTTAAAAATGGTGTGGGGTCTCCCCCATTCATATGAAGCCCTTCAGGTCTGGATTTTGAGGGGAACTCCCACGCAAACATTTTTAAATAAATCGCATGGGGGTCCCCCCAAAATTCATATCAGACCCTTATCCGGTCAGGAAAGGGGGGGCAAGTAAGTTCCCCCCCCCCGAACCATACCAGGCCACATGCCCTCAACCTGGGGGGGTGCTTTGGGGCAGGGGGCTCCCCCCCAAAGCACCTTGTCCTCATGTTGATGGGGACAAGAGCCTCTTCCCCACAACCATGGCCGGTGGTTGTGGGGGTCTGCGGGTGGGGGGATTATTGGAATCTGGACGCCCCCCTTAACAAGGGTGCCCCCAGATCCCAGCCCCCGCCCATGTGAATGAGTATGGGTACGTGGTACCACTACCCATTCACAAAAAAAAAGAGTGTAGAGTCTCTTTGACAAGTCCTTTATTAAAAACAAAAATATAAAAAAGTCCTCCCGAAGTAGATCCAATGTCAATCACCATTACAACCTTCAAGCCGCCAGCATCCTAACAACCACTGATTCCATCAGTTAATATGTCAGTCGCCTGCACGGCATCCTTGTTTGACCCTCCCCTGCCCCTCTCTGTCAGTACTGGAGTCAAATTAGTTGAGTGATAGAGAGAAACAGAGAGAAGAGAAACATTGGAATACTAGTCAGTAACAGTGTGCAAAAGAGTATTTGCATTGAAAGAATAAATCCCCTCTAACATTGGGTGTCCTACATGTGTGGGTGTTGCTGCATTAGGTAAAACTATTAGAATAGTGTTTTACATTTAAGAAAGGTTGAGAAAGACTGCTTTAAACAAACAACACTAGCTTGATAATATGTCTAAAAAAAATGCAAACCTACAGTATATGGACTGCAAATGGCAATTCCTACATTATGTGGATTGCATAGGGGCAATCAGGACAATATGCCGGCATCAAATGGTCAATCATAACAATACATGAACAATCTTGACAATATATGGCCATAAAAAGGGTAACTGTGACAACACATGAGCAACAAATGAATAATTGTGACGATACATGGGCAACACATGGGCAGTTATGACAATACACAGATAATAAACAGGCAACTGTTACAACACAGGGGCAACAAAAGGGCAATCATGCCAATACACAGGTAACCAACCGTCAGTCATTGTATGTAGGCAACAAATTTTAAAATATGCAGGCAAGAAATAAGCAATCATGACAATTTGGAAATGTTTACCAGACACAACCTTCTTTCAGAGCTGGTGGATGCCTGTGTATCCCACTTTGGGTCCCCCCACTAGCAGCCACTACATCACTAGTGTTTCTTTTCCACATCTTCCTACAGGCTGTTTTTTTAAGCAAAAGAGTAATGCATGTCTAATTTCATTATAGTACGTCCAATAAAAACTACAATACAGAAAAAAAAATTGCATAAAGGTACATCAGAAAACATCATTTTTATACATTTTATTTGTTTATTGCATTTTTGTGCATACAGCCTTGATGTTTATGTCAATAGCTGCGACCAGGGCTGCTGTTTAAAACCATGCGGCCCCAGACAGCCAACCTAACAGCCCCCCCCCACACACACACACACACAAACACACAAAATACAGTTTACTATGCTTTAGTTATGAATGAACATAGTGAGCAATCAGTACCGACCACTCATTGTGTTAAATCGGGAAAGAAAGGGGCTGGTAAATGTGACATATGTACTGGGTCCTTCCCCTACTCTCCATTCTGAAGGATCCTATTGTGTGCTTGCAGCTGCCAGAGGGAAGCTGATGTGCAGGGGTGGAGGCACCCAGAGGGACATAGGCAGCAAGGTGCACAGGGAGATTGATGGGGCACTGGGGGGGGGGGCATTTACTGGAACCGATCCCCTGTATGGCTCTCGCTGCAGCAGGTGAAAGCCAGTGGGAGGGAGAGGAGAAGAAGTCAGCTTTTAGCTATACAGGGGATCGGTTCCAGCAATTACCACCCCCCCCCCCCCCCCCCGTGTCGATCATCCTCCCTGCTCACATCCAATTCACCCAGCTGCCTGGGCCCCTTGTTGGACTGGATCCCATACAGGAGAACTGGTGGTACTCCCTTATCCACAGCCCTGACTGCAACACCTACCGTTGGTCTGGATTCCCAGTTTTATCTCAATATGTTGATGCATTGGTGTGTACCTTTAATGTGTTCAGATATGTGTATAATTGTGTTTTGTGGCCTTGTACTAAAAGACAGTTTAAAGGGATCATTTACCTTTACCCAAGAACTGCCTATGCAGGTAAGGGTCATCTGTGGATAAAAA